AAATAACAATCTTAGAGCTTTTAAGGTTTTGTTTGGTTGGGCTGGGAGGACCAATAAGATGTCAGTGATGCGATGGAGAAACGAGGAAGGAAATACCCTGATGCATCTTGCAGCATTAACAAACCAACCGGAGGTATGTTCCTTTGACTAAACCTCCATTTATTTAATTGAGAATGAATTCCCTAAAATCTCCTTCAATTAACTTTCATCAGTAGATAATTCCTTTATTAAACTTGAAACTGAACCCAACCCGACAGGGCTCGTGTGAGGTTTGTCCAAACCATTGACATTATTGAACCTAGAAATCCCAAGAAAGTACCAAAGCAAAGAACGCAAAGTTTTTATCTAGTTTCGTTCTTAGGCCCGTTTGATGTAAGATTTTTTGAGAATATATTTTATGGAAAATCATATTAAAAAGTAGAAAAAATTATGGATTCATTTGTAAAATTATTTTATTGTGAGAATGTGTGATTGAAAATTAATTTGAAGAAAAATGAGTTTTAGAAAATGGATACCATATAAAAAATTAAAAGCCCCACACAGATCACTTTTAGAGCCCCAAATTTTCATTGTCAAACAATCAAAATTATTTAGGTATTTGGTAAACTTGGTATAATGACTAAATAAAATAAAACATAATAAACTATAATTAAAGGATTATGAATTAAGCAGAACTGAGAACAAATATATTCATCCATTAAGCACTATGAACGAAGGGAAAAATGGAAAACCCATGTCGACGAGAGATTTCTTAAATGTTTTAAAAGAAAGACAAGTGAGCTAAAGCTGCTTTGTTGAAAGATTTGACAGAAAGCTTACTGTAATTGCATACGAATGAAATAACTGAGAGCACACTTAAGCAACCTCTTGGAATTCGTCCCAAACATCTGTATTTATAGTTGGGGACGCTTAGATGTTATGGGCCATGTAAAACTTCTTGTTTATGGTTGCAGGTTATGAAGTCATTAATCGGGTATGTGCATGTGAATACGAAGAATTTAGGAGGTAAGACTGCGTTGGATATCCTAGAACCTGGAAATGTAGAAGCGAGGAAAATTTTAATAAGCGCAGGAGCTAAAGAAGGTTCCTCACTTGTCAATGATGCCACCAGTTGTGAAAATTATTTGAACTCACGTGCAACGATTACAGAATGTTTTTTCAAATTGGGTGCTTACGTGCAGTTCGGTTTGTCAGGGGATATGCGAAACGCAATGCTAGTAGTAGTTGTGCTTATTGCAACTGCTACGTTTCAAGCCATTGTCACTCCCCCTGCTGCGATTTCTCACAATGATACCACTCATGTTTTTCCCAGCATCACATCTGTTTATAATGATACTACTTCAGCCAATTCAACTAGCACCAACTTCAACAAAATAACCACAAGACTGGCAGAAGAGAGTATAATTTATAACTCAATCGCATTTGCTATTGCAATGGGAACGTGTGCAATACTTACACTTAATCAACTCCAAATATTTCTCTTGCTACCTNAAGGGAGTATAATTTATAACTCAATCGCATTAGCTATTGCAATGGGAACGCGTGCAATACTAACACTTAATCGACTCCAATTATTTCTCATGCTACCTCTTGCTCTATTTTCGGTGAGCTATGGAGCATTGGCATATGGAATATACTCAGGTCCTTTTATCTATGTTGCAGTTCCGTCAATACTCATTCTGCATTTGTTGGTGATACTTCCCTGGTTGATCATAGCGTGGAAAGGGCGAATGAGAGGTGATTTCTACCACGAAATCAACCTTGATGAGGCGAAATTTCTCATATTTGGTATGAATCAAGGACCCATAGTGACTGGATGGCTGAAATGAAAGCATCACGATGAAGGTACTGCATCAAATGTTCTGTCATGTCTCACAATCAATATTGCAAAAAGCACATCTTAGCTCGCAATGTCTTACTGTTTTAATTTTCA